CGTCAGTGTGTGCGGAAGGCTTGTGATCTTGGCAAGGTCTTAAGCCAAACCCGTGCATTGACCTACAAAGCCTGGGTCCCTAAGGAGTTCTACCTGATTTGACAGCGTTGACACAACCACGATTGCTTTGTGTGGTCTTTGGAAACAGCAGTCTCTTTTGACGAGAAAGTATATCCTATGGATCTGACTAAGAGTTGCAAAAATTGATATTTCTTAATGCTTCGGATCAAATCCGTGTCTCACAGACGATCTGATACAAATATTAAATTGATGTTACGTCCGTGACTATCCCTATCGAAGACAAAAATGCAGTGTTTTGGGAATGACCCGCTTTGTGTGGCTTGTTCAAGGTGTTGGGCAGTGGACGCTGCGTTACAGACTGAAAAGTATCTATTTTAATCTTCTAAGTCAATTTGGCAAAGAGAAGGCTGTCTTCCCTCTGCCCGTTTCAGCGACTTCTACTTGTCAGTATCCTGATTTTAAGTTTAATGAGGAGAATTACTTTCACTGAGTTTAACAGTTTGCATGCGTAGAGATGTAAAAAAGCATCTACATTGGTAATGCGCTCAGTTTTTCATAGTCACTGCACAACCGGAGACTCAAGCTGCCTTTGAGGGATTTATGACTTCGTCTCTGATCACCTCTCCAACTAAAGGGTTTTCTCCTAGTGGAAAAAGTGGCACACATCTGAGTTATTGTCAGATCGGTCAGGGCTCGCCGGCATCTATCGTGTATTTCACAGTGTATTCTCATTCCACCTTAACATCCTGTTATGCAAATGTATTCCATTACTTAACTAGTAGCTCTGGGAGTTCTTTTCTACCGATGTGGGTAACAATAGTAGGCCGCACTTAGAGGTGGTTTAAGATGTTCATGGGTATAGCTGCAACTTTGGATGAGGATTACAGATATTATTCAAGTCTGCTTTTTTAAAGAAATGGCTTTTGAGGCCTCGGTTCCTCGGTAGGTGGAAAAGTTTCTTTTCGCAAAAATCAGAACTGCTTTGGTGCTACGCAGAAAATCGGCTGCAAAAAATTACATCTTAAGGCAGTTCTACGCATGTAGAAAATTTTATTATCCTAATTTTCCAGCCCGTGATGAGATATAGAGGTGTCACACCACAATAGCTCTTCCCAGATGGATGGCTCAAACATTGCGTGTTTTGAACAAAGTTTGACTGGCAAAAGACTAATTTAATGTTGATGGCGGACTAGTTTCTCCAAATTCCTGTGAAATGAGCTACAGTTTGCCTTCATCTTCCCTGATGCTTCTTATCACACTTCTTCCTCCTCACGTCCTTCTTCATCTCTGGATGATTTCGTGCAATTTTGGGACTACTCGTTTATGTTACATTCGACCCTAATATCCTCTTTCTACTCACTGTCTAAATCAATCCAGAAAGAAAGTGGATGGAGTAAGGAGCGATTTGTTTAGGATTAAATCTTGTCGAGGATGTTTCAAAACGAAATGTAAAATGACACAGTGGACTTTGATCAACGCGTAACTACCAATAGGGAAGTTATGCGTTCCCACCCGTATCTATCGAAGACAAAAATGCAGTGTTTTGGGAATGACCCGCTTTGTGTGGCTTGTTCAAGGTGTTGGGCAGTGGACGCTGCGTTACAGACTGAAAAGTATCTATTTTAATCTTCTAAGTCAATTTGGCAAAGAGAAGGTTGTATTCCCAATGCCCGTTTCAGCAACTTCTACTTGTCAGTATCCTGTTATCTCTTTTAGCTAAAGTATAATGCACTTGATATGTTAGGACAATTGCGGACGAGTTATCATTCAACTTGTTTCCTTTGTTTTTCGCCTCTTCATCACCGATGTAGAATTTATGTGTTGAGCAACAAGCAAGAAGGAAGAAATGCCTCTTATCTATC